CTTCCGAATCTTCTTTCTCTCATACAAAAATGTTTGTATCTTTAGTAACCTCTTCACTTTCGATATGAGACTACAGGCAAAAAAAAAAAAAAAAAAAGTGATATTCTCATCGTGTGTATGGGCCATAAGACCTTGTTCCAATGGGTATATGGGATGGGGGAGTGTTTGCCCGCAAGGGAAGAACAGGTGTTCTGTGCATCTGCATAAGGAAGTCCCACTCATGCCTACTGAGCACAAAGGCTGCAGAGAAACAGCTGTTGGTCCCAAACTGACAGCCGTGTGTATGAACATGCATGTCCTTGAACGCACACTGTCTGCATTCATGGACACCCCCACACCTGCACGGCTGTCAAACTGGAACTAGCTGCAAACACTGCCCTTCAAATTATTATTATTATTATATTATTATACAGTATTTATATAGCGCCAAAGGGTATGCTCAGCGCTGTACAATAGCAAGGGGGACAGAACATGAGACAAGACAGTAACAATACACTACACGAGGGGTTCGAGGGCCCTGCTCTTTCGAGCTTACAATCTAGGAGGGAGGGGAAGGTGATACAGGAGGAGATGACTGTGGGGGATGGAGTGGTGGGAGGAGTGGAGGAGATTAGTTGTTAGGTGAGGTCGGGTGTTAGGTGAGGTTGGGGTAGGCTTCCCTGAAGAGGAGGGTTTTCAGGGTGCGCCTGAAGGTGAGGAGGGTAGGTGACAGTCTGATGGATTGGGGTAGGGAGTTCCAGAGGATGGGGGAAGTCCTGAAATCGGGCGTGAGAGGAGGAGACCAGAGAGCTAGAGAGTAGGAGGTCCTGAGAGGAAAGGAGGGCACGGGTAGGGTAGAATTTGGGTATCATGTCAGTTATGTAGTTTGAGGCGGCATTGTGAATGGCTTTGTAGGTAAGAGTTAGCAGTTTGAATTTGATGCGTTGACCAATCGGGAGCCAATGAAGGGATTGGCAGAGGGAGGAGGCAGATGTGGAGTGGTTGGTGAGGTGGATGAGTCTAGCCGCTGAGTTTAAGATCGACTGGAGTGGGGATAGCGTTTGTTTGGGTAGGCCAGTGAGAAGGGAATTGCAATAGTCCAGGCGTGAGATGATGAGGGAGTGCACGAGTTGTTTGGTGGTGTCTGGGGTGAGGAATGTGCGTATCTTGGAGATGTTGCGGAGGTGGAGCCTGCAAGATCTAGATAACAGTTGGATGTGGGGTAGGAAGGAGAGGTGGGAGTCCAGGGTGACACCCAGGACTTTGGCGTGTGGGGTGGGAGAGATGGTGGCGTTGTTAGTAGTGATGGAGAGGATGGGGGGGCACAGGGTGGGGAGAAGACCAGGAGCTTGGTTTTGGATAGGTTAAGTTTGAGGAAATGGAGCGACATCCAGTCTGATATGTCGTTTAGGAGGTGGGCGATGCGGGCAGAGAGTCAGGGGGTGAGGTGGGGGGTGGAGAGGTAAATTTGGTTGCCGTCGGCATAGAGGTGGTAATTGAAGCTGTGGGAGTGAATAAGTTTGCCAAGGGAGGAGGTATAGATGGAGAAGAGGAGGGGCCCGAGGACAGAGCCTTGGGGGACCCCAACAGAGAGGGGGAGGGAGGGGGAGGTGGCAGTGTTGTAGATGACGCTGAAGGAACGTTGGGAGAGGTAGGAGGAGAACCAGGAGAGAGCAGCGTCCTTGATGCCAAGGGAGTGCAGTTTGGCAAGGAGGAGAGGGTGGTCAACAGCGTCGAAGGCCGCAGAGAGGTCGAGGAGCAGGAGTATAGAATAGTGGCCATTGGCTTTGGCGGTTAACGGGTCATTGGTGATTTTAAGTAGGGCGGTTTCGGTGGAGTGCAGGGGACGGGAGCCAAACTGTAGGGGGTCAAGGAGGTTGTTATCAGTGAGGTGGACGCTTAGGCGATTGTAGACCAGGCGCTCAAGGAGCTTGGAAGTGAAGGGCAACAAGGAGATGGGTCTAAGGTTGTTAAGGTTAGTGGGGTCAAGGGAGGGTTTTTTGAGAATGGGGGTGATGTGTGCGTGCTTTAGAGGGGAGGGGAAGGTGCCGGTGGAGAGGGAGAGATTGAAGATGTGGGTGAGGGAGCGAATGATGGAGGGGGGTGGTGACTGGAGGAGCTGTGAGGGGATAGGGTCCAGGGGGCAGGTGGTGAGGCGGGCTTCAGTGAAGACCTTAGAGACCTCCTCGGGGGTAGCTGGACTGAAGGAATGGAGTGTTGGGGAGGTGATGATGTGCGGGGCATTAGGTATAGTGGGGGGTAGTGCGACTATGAGGTCAGGGGAGGGGAGGGTTGAGGGGCTGGAGGAGAGCGGGAGGCTGGGTGGAGAGGTGGATTGCGAGTTGACAATGTCCTTACGGATTGCGTCAAACTTGTTTTGGAAGTGAGTGGCAATCTCGTGAGCGGTGAGTGAGGTGCTGGGTGGGGCGTATGCATAGATACACCCATGTGAACGAGGCCTAACAGCTTAAAAACACCTGCTGTGTATGATACTTAATAGGAACATCACTGTGCCTGCGTTGTGAAATTTGGTAATGAACATCTCATCTTTCCCTATAGCTACAGAGCTGGAAAAAGGGCTTGTGTTAAAATGATTTTACTAATTGTTCAGAATATTTAATACTTTATTGTACAATTTTTTTTTTGGCACAGATTCAGTTTAAAGCTGAACTCCAGCTTTTGGTACACTTTACATAGTTTTTTTGGGCCAAGCTGGCCCAAACGAACTATGAATCTCATTGAGTAAGAGGTTGTGCCATCATCAGCTTGCCTCTCAGACCCAGCCAATCAGAGGAAGCTTTGTATTTCCTGATAGAATATGTCACTTTCTATGAGTGGCTGAGTGCCACTCAGACAGACTATTGTGTTCTGGGGCTAAGACAGTAAAGTCTCAGCTTGCCCCGGAACACAGTGCTGTATGTAGCCTCAGCTACATACAGTTCGCCAGCACATCCAGTGGCCTCACATGTTATTGGCCCAAACGAACTATGTAAAGTGCACCAAAAGCTGGAGTTCAGCTTTAAAAGTAGAAATCAATGTGCATGGCGACCAGCTGTTAATCATTGGGATCCCTTCATTTATACCCTTGCTGCTCAGATATTTGCAATATGTCTCACAAATGTTTAGACGTGTCCACTACAACTGGCGCTTCTTAGAATATTCTACTGCATTTCAGAGTGCATCTCGTTGAGAAAAAGTAGTCTGTAGATTTGGAACTGCATAGTGGATAATATCAAGATCAACAAAGATATACTGTAACCAGGAACATCAATGAGAGTCTGATTGCATACTCATTTAGAATGGGAGAGTTTGGTTCATTATTAATCAGCTGATGTATCTTCTGTGTTTTAACCACTTAAGCTCCAAAAGATTTTACAACCTTCATGACCAAGCCATTTTTTGCTATACGGCACTGCACTATATTTTTTACTTTCTGCTACAAAACGTACTCAATAAAAAAAATAAAAAAATCTAATTCCTTCATAAATTAAGCCAAAATGTATTCTGCTACCGATTTTTGGTAAAAAAAAAAACCCCAAAAAGTGTATATTAATTGGTTAGCGTGAAAGTTATAGTCTCTACAAACTATGGGATATATACTAGAATTTTTATTACGATACTAGTAATGGTGGCAATCAGTGACTTGTAGCAGGACTGTGATAGTGCAGAAGGCAATCTAACACTAACTGACACTTTGTGGGCACTGACTGACTGACATCACCAGTGACACGAATACAGTGATCAGTGCTAAAAATACACTGTCACTGTACTAATGACATTGGAAGGGTTAACATCTAGGGGAAATCAAAGGGTTGTGTGCCTAGCAAGTGTTGATGTGTTTACTGTGTGCTGCTTTGTACTACAGATCGATAAATTTATTTTCCCTAGCAGGGAAAAGAAACAAAACGATTGCTACCTCTGTACAGAGCTCTGTGTTGTTTACCAACAATTTGCCACAGCCGATCAGCAGGTTCCAGCCATGAATCACTGGCCGGGATCTGTTGATGAACTCCCGCTGTGTCATATCAGAGGAGAGTAGGCAGGAGGGGCCATGCGTATGGCCCCAAACTCGGAAACAGGCAGCGACATACCAGTACGTCACGATGCCTGTCGCTGCTGCCCTGCCGCAGTAAATGTACCGTGGTGTGTCGGCAGGTAGTTAATGAGGGAAGATGCACTGTCTGCATCCTTTAGAAGCGATTATTTCTTGGGGAGTATCTTACCAAAAATATATTTTTCTATTGAAGAGGATGCCTAAAGTCTGACTTATCTTGGTGTAGACGTCTTGGAAAATCAGCGATCGAATCACAGAAGCAGAAAGTTTTTTGGACGTGTTCTATACACCAACTATGTACAGAATGCCTCCGTGTTGATACATTGCATTGAATTTTACAGAAAATTAAATCGTTGAGCATTGAAAATCAAAAGGTAATTTTTTTTATTAACATCAAACTACAGCAAGGCTTATGAGGCAATTGTAGGTGCTATCTTTTTATTTGCTATATATTCCATCAAAGTGATGTTACCCTTTAATACTGTAGTCAGAAATTTACCATATTTTTCGCTCCATAAACTTTTTTCCCCCAAAGAAGGGGGGAAAATGTCAGTGCGTCTTATGGAGTGAATATAAAGCGGCCAGTCCGGTATTTCCGCCGCCACCATGTCAGAATACCGGGCCGGCCGCTCAGCTGTTCTCTGATGCAGGACCTTACCTGTTCCTCAGTCCAGCGCTGCGCAGTCTTCCCGCACCGGCTTCTTCCTGCGCTGGCATCTGTGACAGCCGGGTGCCCGCTGCGCATGAGCGAGAAGCGTTGCGCTTTGTGAATGGTCCGGCGTCTTCTGGGACACGACAGGTCCCAGAAGACGCTGTGCCATTCACAAAGTTCAGCGCTTCTCGCGCATGCGCAGCGGGGTGCCCACAGTAAAGGGAGGACAACTCTGCGGAAGTGGGAGCGGGTAACTGTCAAATTCAGGTACCCGCTCCCCCTCCCTCCCTAAAGGTCCGCAGTCTCTGGTCATCCCCTGTACTGTCTGCAGTCTCTGGTCATCTCCTGTACTATGTCCGCAGTCTCTGGTCATCTCCTGTACTGTGTGCAGTCGCTGGTCATCTCCTGTACTGTCTGCAGTCTCTGGTCATCTCCTGGTACATGTCCGCAGTCTCTGGTCATCTCCTGTACGGTCTGCAGTCTCTGGTCATCTCCTGTACTATGTCCGCAGTCTCTGCACTGTCTGCTGGTCATCTCCTGTACTGTCTGCAGTCGCTGGTCATCTCCTGTACATGTCCGCAGTCTCTGGTCATCTCTCCTGTACTATCTCCCTGTCTGTAGTCTCTGGTCATCTCCTGTACTGTCTGTAGTCTCTGGTCATCTCCTGTACTAGTCTCTGTCTGTAGTCAGTCTCTGGTCATCTCCTGTACATGTCTGCAGTCTCTGGTCATCTCCTGTACTATGTCTGCAGTCTCTGGTCATCTCCTGTACTATGTCCGCAGTCTCTGGTCATCTCCTGTACTGTGTCTGCAGTCGCTGGTCATCTCCTGTACTGTCAGTCGCTGGTCATCTCCTGTACTATGTCCACAGTCTCTGGTCATCTCTCCTGTACCATGTCCTGCAGTCTCTGGTCATCTCCTGTACCATGTCCGTCTCTGGTCATCTCTGTACTATGTCCGCAGTCCTGTATCTCCTGTACCATGTCCACAGTCTCTGGTCATCTCCTGTACTATGTCCGCAGTCTTTCTAGTCATCTCCTGTACCTGTGTCCGCAGTCATCTCTGGTGTCATCTGGTCTGTACCATGTCCGCAGTCTCTGGTCATTTCTTGTACTATGTCTGCAGTCCCTTGGTTCAGGATATTTTTTTTTTCTTGTTTTTCTCCTCTAAAACCTAGGCACATCTTATGGTCAGATGCGTCTTATGGAGCGAAAAATACAGTATATTAGCACAGTACAGTTTCTACCTTCTGTGTTTACAGAATCTGTTAGCTTGTGGAATTGCTATAAGCAATGACACTAGATTCATGAATCAAAGAGGAAAGAGGAGGGAGGCATGAAAAAACACTGTGGTCCCTATGGCATAGCATGTGTCATAGAGGTCAGCCAAAAGTGTAAAGTGAGAAGTGGCATTTCCTTACATTGTGTTACATTATTACCTAATCATTTGTGTTTATCACTCCTAGAAATAAATTGGGAAAAGACAACGTATAAAAGTCAATAAAATATATTCTTTTTCTGCCAAGGCTAATAAACAATCCCTATCCACTCACCATCACATAAAACCACAAATTAAAATACTGTACTCCGACACAATGCCATTAATATAATGGTTTGGGCTGTTTACTGGTGTATCTCATCATCACATCAGGGAAAAGTTTGAGAATAGAAAACCGAATAATCACAAAACTGTTACATTGGAGAGCACTTCAAATAAATACAGCAAACTAAAGTTTCTATGACTTCACAGAGCATATTTCTTCCAGTCTACAAAACACAATTCTAATTCAGAATATGAATACTTTTTACCATAATTTTCTAGACAGTATTGTCCAAAAGATTAATTTAAAACAATAAAGAAACGGCATACTTCTTTTGAGAATAATTCAGAATGTTAGTTTGTTGAACCATAATGTATACGAGTGTGAACATCAGAACACCAAAATATCTATATTATTTAAGGTTCATTTACCTAATTATTTTCATAAATTTTCCAAGCATCAAAGAGAACAAAACCTTGACCCCCAATATTCTAAAGAATGGGTAGGATGTAGAAAGAAGAAAAAGTAATTAGAGCACTTTTCATGCTATCCAGCAAATACTGAAACCGTGGCAATAATAGAAAATCCACAGTTGATCAGTCTTCTGTAATTGATTAAAGGTTGAGGTTTTACAATGCTCCTGGCTTGTGGAACAGACATATCTATTTCCTGAAGTCTGTTCTGTGCAAATTTCTCCCTGATGTGCCATCACTCAGATTCAGGCTTCATACACACTTGCTTTTTTTTTTATATCAAGCTCAAAAAATGCTGGAAAAAATGCAGGATGAAAAAATGCCGGTAATAGCGCATTTTAGTAGTGTTTAGAACAGTGGTTCTCAACCTTTCTAATGCCGCGACCCCTTAATACAGTTCCTCATGTTGTGGTGACCCCCAACCATAAAATTATTTTCGTTACTACTTCATAACTGTAATTTTGCAGTGGGAGGACTAGCGCCCCATCACTGATGTCAGTGGGATGAATAGTGTCCCATTGTTGGTATCAGTGGGATGAATAGTGCCCCATCGTTGGTGTCAGTGGGAGGAATAGTGCCCCATCGTTGGTGTCAGTGGGAGGAATAGTGCCCCATCGTTGGTGTCAGTGGGAGGAATAGTGCCCCATCGTTGGTGTCAGTGGGAGGAATAGTGCCCCATCGTTGGCATTAGTGGGGGAATAGTGCCCCATCATTGGTATCAGTGGGAGGAATAGTGCCCCATCATTGGTATCAGTGGGAGGAATAGTGCCCCATCATTGGTATCAGTGGGAGGAATAGTGCCCCATCATTGGTGTCAGTGGGAGGAATAGTGCCCCATCATTGGTGTCAGTGGGAGGAATAGTGCCCCATCATTGGTGTCAGTGGGAGGAATAGTGCCCCATCGTGGGTGTCAGTGGGAGGAATAGTGCCCCATGGTGGGTGTCAGTGGGAAGAATAGTGCCCCATTGTGGGTGTCAGTGGGAGGAATAGTGCCCCATTGTGGGTGTCATTGGGAGGAATAGTGCCTCATCGTTGGTGTCAGTGGGAGGAATAGTGCCCCATCGTTGGTGTCAGTGGGGGGAGGAATAGTGCCCCATCGTTGGTGTCAGTGGGGGGAGGAATAGTGCCCCATCGTTGGTGTCAGTGGGGGGAGGAATAGTGCCCCATCGTTGGTGTCAGTGGGGGGAGGAATAGTGCCCCATCGTTGGTGTCAGTGGGGGGAGGAATAGTGCCCCATCGTTGGTGTCAGTGGGGGGAGGAATAGTGCCCCATCGTTGGTGTCAGTGGGGGGAGGAATAGTGCCCCATCGTTGGTGTCAGTGGGGGGAGGAATAGTGCCCCATCGTTGGTGTCAGTGGGGGGAGGAATAGTGCCCCATCGTTGGTGTCAGTGGGGGGAGGAATAGTGCCCCATCGTTGGTGTCAGTGGGGGGGGAGGAATAGTGCCCCATCGTTGGTGTCAGTGGCGGGAGGAATAGTGCCCCATCGTTGGTGTCAGTGGGGGGAGGAATAGTGCCCCATCGTTGGTGTCAGTGGGGGGAGGAATAGTGCCCCATCGTTGGTATTAGTGACACAAATGATGGGGTACTATCCCTTCCACTGACACTAATGATACTTACCTTGCTGACTCCTGCTCCAGCCTGGGCTCGCTCTCTCCCTCTCCCATCTACAGCCTGCATACCTGGCTGCAGCAGCAAAATTTGCACTTACCTGTCAGCTGTCTTCCTTCTCTGGCCTCTCTCTTCACTCACTCCTGCAGCTCCCTCGATCTTCTTTGATCTCCGCACGCTGCCGCTCGGCTCCTCCTCTCCAAGCTCCACCTCCTCGCCGGTGATTGGCCGCCTGTGTGCCTCTCCTGAGCTATAGTTCCGGTGGCCAATCAGCGGCGAGGAGGCGGAGCTGTTGAGTGATCCTGGAGGTGTGGCCAGGTTACAGGGGCAGCATATCATTCCGCCCACAGATCGCCTGAGACAGGAGCGGTGTCTCGGTTCCTAAGACCATCGGAAATATGTGTTTTCCGATGGTCTTAGGCGACCCCTGTGAAATGGTTGTTCGACCCCCAAAGGGGTCGCGACCCCCAGGTTGAGAACCGCTGGTTTAGAAGCATTTATGACTGTTCGCATTTTATTAGCATTTTTCCAGCCCATGCAGGTAAAAAAAAGGTGAAGAAAAAAAAAATCTGTTAGGAGTGTTTTAGTAGCGTTTAGCATTTTTTTCTGCCAGAAAAACGCTCCCAAAAACTCAATTTTTTTTCTGTTTCTAAATACCGAAGCTAGAAAAATGCTACTAGCCTAAAATAGTGTGCATGAACACATAGGATAGCACTACTCTGCTTCTAGGAGCAGAAAAAAAATGCTGATAACAGTTTCTAGGGGACATTGTGGGGAATTCATAAAGAGCATCTACAACATTTAGAATTCTGACTTGCCTCCACTCGACAAATGTCAATGTGGGCAACAGATTCATGTACCTGTTGTAAACAAGCAAAATGAATTTGGTGCATGCACTGAGTATGAAGGTGCACTGAGATAAGAGTATGCATACAGACACTTCACTTTCAGTGAAGCTGAATTTCTTCTTGGGGAGCTAGCGTCTGTTAATCCCCTTCAGGTTCCACCCACCCAATTAAAGTTTTTTTTTATCAAGGGTGGGTAGAGCCTGGTGGGGATTCACAAACACTAGTTCCCCATGAGGTCCACTCCCCTTGTGACTGACAGTAGGCAGTCGGCGGATCTTTAGCCAAAAGACAGCCTGCTAGTAGTTATAGAATCCACCCAATGCCTGCTGTCAATCACAAAGAGAAAGGAGACCTGGTGGTGTCAACTTCCTCAAGATCCTCCCACTGGAGGAGCACTAGTTGCTAGGTGGCTGTGAAGCCAACCAAAGGCAAAACATTTTTGTACTTTTGGATAGAGTGGAGGTGGTTTCGAACAACTGTCTGTTTCCCTGGTGGGTAGATTCACCCTTTCCATATTTGTCCTGTTTACCATTATCATCAAAAGTGAAAGTATAAGAAACCCCACATTTTGGGTTGCCCCCCGGAAAAGTAATAGAGAGAGAACTTTCCTATTGCAGTGACCTTGGGGTCCTCAAGAAATACCCTCAAATTGCAGAGATTTTCTCACTTCCTGTTTTAGCTATGGGACAGGAAGTGAAGGTAAATCTCCCCAACAGGATACAGATGGCAAATGACCTAGGTTTTAACCCTCCTTTACTCTATTCAAAACAAAAAAAAAAAAGTTTGCCTATAGTTCTACTTTAACACCAGTGACAGTGAGGGGGAAGCACTGACAAATATGCCACTCTACTACACTGCATACAGGGATAGGCACTCTGCCTGTCACTGTACACCAACTTACAGTTGGTCATAAAGTAAAGTTAGTAAATTGACAGGAAGGTATATTATATTTACTTATTTTAAACTTTCTTTTACATTTCTTCAGTTGCTTCCAGATTACTGCCTTACATTCCAGGAGACTTCATGGGCATTTTTTTCTTTCATCTGGAGGATGGACTTTCTCGACTAAACATAACCTCCTATTTGCATGCGTGAGATAAGGGCAGAGGGATTCCAGAAGCAACTGCTACATAAATCATCTGCTCTTACTCAAGCTGGCCGCTGCTAAAAAAGCTAGGGGGTGTTTTTCAAATTGATTTCTCAACAAAATAAAAGGAAGGAAATAAATAGCTTTTCTGGTTTGTAGTGCTCACATACAGTTTAGTTCCACTTTAATTACCTACAGTTTTGTTATTTATGAAGTGGAGGTAATTATTTTTTAATTCGATGCATTAATAGCGCCATTTTGTAAAACTGGCGCTATTGAGAACTAACTGAATCTGCAGCATGTCAGTAAAGGTACTAAAACTGGCAGCAGAGATGTTTGAATTTGGTGCGGGTCATTTTAAAGGGCCATAGCACCAGAATAGTGTCGGTGTGGATTTACTGAATTCCCCCGATTGTCTCTTCCTCAATGAACATCTTGCATCTTATTTTATACTTCAAAATATATCAAAGAACTTTTCTTTTTCAAATACAAAAACATTCAAAGTGTCCAATATAAAAACTAAATATGCCCAATGTCTTAAACACCATACGCAAAAGTCATTTTCTTCTTTCAAATAAATATCTTTCTCAATTCATGAAGTTTTCAGTGACCATAAACCCTATACATATATTAGAAGAGCATACATTAGAAGAGCATATTCAGTAGAAGGGTCAGAAAAAGTCAAAGGAAGTGACGAAACGCGTCAAGGACACGTGACGTCTGACGCATCAACGTCAACCGGAAGTACGATCGTGGCCATTTTGAAAGTGGGAACATGTGGTTACTGTTCCTTGGCTTGATCTTGTCTCTAATATGAGGAGCTGCTCTTTGCAATTTTTGATGTAAGTTACTGAATAAATTGTTTTTGCATTTGATCTACCACATCTAACTGCTGATTTGTTCATGAGGAAAATGGAGGAAAAGTTTATAAGATCATGAAGAAAGATGTTATCCCATACCTGTGATATGCTCTTCTAATATATCTATAGGGTTTATGGTCACTGAAAACTTCATGAATTGAGAAAAATATTTATTTGAAAGAAGAAAATGACTTTTGCGTATGGTGTTTAAGACATTGGGGATATTTAGTTTTTATATTGGACACTTTGTATGTTTTTGTATTTGAAAAAAGAAAAGTTCTTTGATATATTTTGATTAACTTTCAAGGGTGGAAGTGAATTATTTTTCTTTAAGATTGGGATTTATTTAGTGGTGCTGATTGATAAATATTATTTTATACTTCAGTTCCACATCAAGTGCAGAGAATATGTCTTTATATTACTCTGCAAACAAAGAATAAAACAAAAAAAAGAAGGACCTGTAGAGTGAGCTATTTAGGCTCTGATGAACAGGTCAGTGCGATAACCACATCAGCATGATACTGTTCTATTACTGTCCAATCAGTAGGCTGGAAACAAGAAAATGGCCAAGCATATCATAAAGGACTGGTTATCTGAAATAGGTAACATTTTTGGTTTTGGGTTTAGATACGCTTTAATTAAAAAAAAAAAACAGTCTTCCTGAGGTATAACAAATCATATTCAATCTTTTATCATTCTTATGTAAATACTCACTAAAGTCGCCAGTTAGGAAAACAGCCTCTGCTCCTGGGGCCCACTCTTTGCAATAGATTCCCCCATCTGCCTTGGTGTGGATGCCAAAAGATTGGTAACTTTTGGTAAACTTTTCCAGCCCACCTTCAAATCCCTCAATATTTTTCAAACGATCTTCAAACAAAGCATACCTGCAAAGACAACGACAGTCACTTTAAGACAATTTCAAATATGAATCCTTAAACACTAAAGCCAAAATCCAAGCAAATTGGTAAATACACAGGTGAAACCCGCATATGGAAGCAGTTGTACCTTTAAAAGTATTATATTCCCTTTTATTCCATCCTAAGATTTACTCATGTGAATGACACCACTTATAGTTATAGAATACATTGATACCCTCTCTCCACCCACAGCTTCCTCACTGGATAGTGAAAGCGCATCAACAGACTGTTCATCTCAACATTCTTTTCCCCTATCAGCAGGTTTCTTATAAGCACAACACCCAATTGGCTCCTAATCCTGTCCTTCCCTCTCTCAGTCTGAGCAATGCTGTATAGGTGATTACAACAGTTTGATATCAGGGTACTTATAAAGCTGCATGTCAAAATATACATTTAATGGTAAAAAGTGTTGTAAACCTCTGACATGAAATATGAACAAAGGATATCCCTCTATAGTGTGTATTAGTCTTAATCCAGAACACTAAGTGTAATTTCTCTCTGCTCCCTTGTCCCTCTGTTATCAGCCAATTTTGACATGTTTTCCTGACATCAAGAGGAAAAGTGACAGAGGAGAGTGCTTCAGCATGTAGCCTGTGATTGACAGCCACAGCTCTGTTCCTGTGAGCTGTGTGGAGGGGGTGTGTCCCTTCCCCCCAATCAACTCTTCTCATTGAGCTTTGCGGCATGTAACTTCTGCTCCTCGCCCCCTGCTTTCTGAAAGCTCAAACAAGTTCTATAAATTCTGGACTTTGAATGGATGTAGAGAAGACTGCAGATAAACAAGTACAACTTATAAAGAAGGATCTGTGTATCACCTGAGGCCAGTCATTTCACTGGGTATATGGAAGGGTTTACAACCACTTTAATGAATACTTTGCTGCATTAATTAGGCTATTTTTATACATTGCCTGGAGCTCAGTTTTAATTATTCTCCCAAAGTCATACTGGCTAGCACCAAAAAACAATCTTATATAGTTGAGACACAGTTTTCGCACAACCTTTTGTAATCTTCTAAATGTTTCTAACTCAGCTACAAAAACAATGCAAATGGGTTGGGGTTAAAAATGAATTAATCTGATTATTAATGGTAGGTAAAAGCCAATAAAGGCAGTGTGAATCTTCTAACTGAAGGAATTATAAGAAAGAGCAAGTTTATGTACATATCAAAGTTGGCAGGACTGTGTTTGGAGCTTTTAGGAACCCACTTTTGAAAGTAAAGCTCTCAAAATTCTTAATGAGTATATAATAGTTCCACAAGCATCTAAGCATGCCTAAATATACCAGTATTTGTTTTTCCTAGAGTGCGTCAGTAGCTGTAAAACGTGTGATACTGTACATGTATATTTAACAATGAAATTCTCTTATTCCCTACCTTGTGGTCTGCTAAGCATGCGATTGAAAGTGTTATAGCTGCTTTATAAGTGCAAAAATACATGTTGATTCTGCCACACATCTTGTGAGTCAATGGAGGAGATTTACTAAAACTGGTACACTCAGAATCTGATGCAGCTGTGCATGGTAGCCAATCAGCTTCTAACTTCAGCTTGTCCAGTGAAGCTTTGTCAATAAAATCTGGAAGCTGGTTGGTTTCTATACAGAGCTGCCTCAGCTTTTGCACTTTCCAGTTTTAGTAAATAACTCCCAATAGCTTGCTGTGCTCTCTGTCTGTGCTGAAAGAGAGGGAGGAGATGAGGAGAGGTCCATGTTCTTTGTTATCCATCAAAAGTGAAGTAGGCTGAGCTGACATGTTCTGTTACACTATACAGGGGTTAGACAAAAATATGGAAACACGACATGATTTGCAGGTGTGAAAGTGATGACATGTTTCCCATGACAGCAGAAGTGATGTAACATTCTTTTGCTTCCGTTCTGTGATGAGACATCTATCTAACAGGTGGGAAGTGCTAATACTTATACGGAATCATGTCAGAGCTTACTGATCTTCAAAGATGGCAAGTTGTTGTTGCCCGCTTAGCTGCTGCCTCTGTGAATGAAGTTGTCAATTTATTTGGGGTGTCGAGGGGTACAGTATCAAAGGTTATGACGGCATATCCAGTTTCTGGGGAAATGTCGTCTGATAAACATAAGCGCGGTTGACATGGTCAACTGACCAATACACCCTGTTCCAAATTATTGTGCAAATTCTATTTAAGTGTCACAAAGATAAAATATTTAGTTTTTCAGTTTAAGTGGATGGCATTGTGTGTCAGGGCTCTTTTGATCACGGACACCTGTGATAATTAGATTGGCAGGTGAGCCCAATTTAAGGAAAAACTACTAAAGGAGGGTGTTCCACATTATTACACCCATTTACAAGCAATATGGGTTAGAAAAAGGATCTCTCTGCTGCCGAAAATAGTGAAATAGTTCAATGCCTTGGACGTGGTATGAAAACATTAGATATTTCACGAAAACTTAAGCGTGATCATCACACTATTAAGAGATTTGTGGCTGATTCAGAGCACAGACGGGTTGGTGCAGATAAAGGCACATTGAGGAAGATTTCTGCCAGATCCATGCATCGGATCAAGAGAGCAGCTGCTAAAATACCATTACATAGCAGCAAACAGATATTTGAAGCTGCTGGTGCCTCTGGAGTCCCACGGACAAAAAGGTGTAGAGTCCTCCAGAGTCTTGCAACTGTGCATAAACCTTCTATTCGGCCACCACTAACCAATGCTCACAAGCAGAAACAGCTGCATTGGGCAGAAAAATACATGAAGACTATTTTTCAAACATTCCTGTTCACTGATGAGTGCCGTGCAACCCTGGATGGTCCAGATGGATGGAGTAGTGGATGGTTGGTGGACGGACACCCTGTTCCAACAAGGCTGCAAGGCAGTGGTGAAGTCATGTTTTGGGCCAGAATCATGGGAACAGAGCTGGTCGGCCCCTTTAGGGTCCCCAAAGGTGTAAAGATGACCTCTGCAAAGTATGTGGAATTTATGACTGACCACTTTCTTCCCTGGTACAGAAGGAAGAACTATTCTTTCCGTAATAAAATCATCTTCATGCATGACAATGCACCATCTCATGCTGCAAAGAATACCTCTGCATCAATGGCTGCTATGGGGATAAAAGGAGAGAAAGTCATGGTGTGGCCTCCATCCTCCCCTGACCTCAATCCTATTGAGAACCTTTGGAGCATCCTCAAGCAAACGATCTATGAGGGTGGGAGGCAGTTTACATCCAAACAGCAGCTCTGGGAGGCTATTCTGACATCCTGCAAACAAATTCAAGCAGAAACTGTCCAAAAACTCACAAGTTCAATAGATGCAAGACTTATGAAGCTGCTATCAAATAAGGGGTCCTATGTTAAAATGTTCAAAAAGTTAAAATGTTGTTAAAAGTTTGATTAAAATAGCTTTTGATTTCAGTAAATATGCTGCAAACACAACAAATGACAATTTTCAGTTCTTTACAACCTATAAAGTGTTTTGAAACTTACTGTGTGTAATAATTTGGAACAGTGCATTGTAAGTTTTTTATGTTTAAAAAAAATCCTGTTATCATTAGGAGGTTTGTTCAATAAAATTTGAATTGTACTCTTAATAGTTGATAACATGAGAATTATGCTGACTGTTATTTACATCAATTATTTAGGTAAATGAGAAAAATATCATTTGCATAATAATTTGGAACAAGGTGTAGAGACAAAAGGACATAGCGCAGGACTGTGACCTGGAATGAGAAAACAACTGCTACAAAAGTGACTGAAGAGCTCAATCTTAGTCCTGTGAAGACTGACATTGAGCTCTCCAGTCATTTTTGCAGCAATTGTTTTCCTTTTCCGGTCAGTTGAGCAAGTCAACCCTGCTTATGCTTATCAGAGGATGTTTTCCCTCTTTGAAGCTCAGTAAACTCTACCATGACTCCGTATTACTAGCAGTGCACTCAGTGAATGACGAAAGTGAGGCTTCCCACCTGTTAGCCAGGTGTCTCATCAAACAGAGGAAGCAAACAAATGTTACATCACATCCGCTTTCAATGTGAAACATCTCATCATTTTCACACCTGCAAATCATGTAGTGTTTCCATTTTTTGTTTAACCCCTGTATGTATTTTCACTGCTGTTGTATTGAACTGTATCAGCTACTATTGTTCTGTAGCATGCTGACATTTAGTGGTGGTTTAAGGACACTACAAATTGTTTACCTATGGGATTTGGTATACCCCTCTGCCCCCCCTATTTAGTGTTTTTTAATTCCTGAATAGACCCTCCTGTTTCTTCCATGTTTCCTCAACCAGCGTTCGCTCTTCATAAAAGCATAGTTTAAGAAAGCTATCGTCTTCTTACACATCAAAAAGACTAGAAAAACATCCTCTATACTGCACATCAGAAGAATTGCATTAGATTCAACTTCTGTGTCTTACTGAACAGAGAAGCCACCTGTGGATGTTGCCAAGTTGGCAGGTGACCATACTGTCTAGACAGACTAGGTCTACGGAGGTATATCAATGCACAGCGTGGCACTTAAAACAGAATAACATGAGCATAGGAATTTAGTGTTGTCAAGGTGTTATATCAAGTAGGCACACTATATTTCTGACACATCAAGCTATTTTTCAGTACTTGCAATGTGTTTAAAGGGATAAAACATCAGGAAATGTTCATGTATTCTAGTTACTAGATATATACGCTATATTGCCAAAAGTATTGGGACACCTGCCTTTACACGCACATGAATTTTAATGGCATCCCAGTCTTAGTCCATAGGGCTCAATATTGAGTTGGCCCACCCTTTGCAGCTATAACAACTTCAACTCTTCTGGGAAGGCTGTCCACAAGGTTTAGGCGTGTTTCTATGGGATTGTTTGACCATTCTTCCAGAAGAGCATTTGTGAAGTCAGGCACTGATGTTGGATGAGAAGGTCTGGCTCACAGTCTCCGCTCTAATTCATCCCAAAGGTGTTCTATCGGGTTGAAGTCAGGACTCTGTGCAGGCCAGTCAAGTTCCTCCACCCCAAA